AAAAAAAAAAAAAAAAAAGAGTACCGAGTACTTCAAATGCAGACCAATGACAGAGAACTGAATTGGAGGTCGCTTTTTCCCAAGTTCCGACCCACGGTTGCACCGGACCGAGCACTTCTTCCCCCGCCTGCCCCGCGTCTTCTCATGCCGAATCCCACCATCAACTTCTTTTCTTGGTTACATTAGCTTGCTTGCTTATGGGACTTGGAATCATACTTCATCACTCACCAGCACGCGCGAAGTTGTATGACCATCAGTGAGACACCATGGCTGAACACGAGCCCGAGCCGAAGCGTTTTTCTCCTAAAATTCCTGTCCAGCTCGACCCTCCCAAATACGATCTGATAACTGTGGAGGAACTATCGAAATGCGACGGTCAGTTGGTTTTATTAAGGGATACCTAGATACACGCTATCTCTGACCGAGTGCGACTTCCAGGCACCGATCCAAATCGTCCTACGCTGGTCGCAATCAAGGGAATTGTTTTTGACGTGACTCGCAACGCTGCATACAGCCCGAGCGGGCAATACCACGGTGGGTTAAGATCCGGGCTGCTCGAATGACCCGACAATTGGTACATGTATATGTTCTCGTTGTACTCATGTCTTTGTCCGATTGCAGTGTTCGCCGGGAAGGATCCCTCCCGCGCCCTGGCCTCCTCGTCGCTCAAGCCTGAGGATTGCCGTCCTGACTGGTACGATCTCGAGGATAAAGAGAAGACGGTACTCGATGAATGGTTCACGTTCTTTAGCAAACGGTACAATATTGTTGGGAAAGTGCAAGACGCCACCAACTATTGACAGAAGTGAATAAGGCATTTGCGGTACTTCCTTGATTAGCCAGCGCTCCTCTATCATAAGCGCGCCAAATATGCCTAAGGACTGGCATCTGGTGCCTTGATATGTTGTTGTGATACCTAGGATCTTAGTCTATCTGTATTTAAGTGATATCCCAACTGATCTCTGCGGATTGCCAGTATAAGTATGCACAATGACCATTAGCTATCTAGGTGACCCTGTTGAACTTTTAAATGTACCCGTGTCTAGGCCTTCCCTTTCCGACTTCTCCGTTGCATTCTCTTCTTTGAAATGATCCGGTTTCGCTTTGCGATCTTGTTCTGTTCCTCCGCATCTTCACCAGCATCGTTCTTGTCGCTGCTGTTATCAGAACGCTTTCGCTTCTGTCCCGACTGGGAGCTCTTATCCTGCGCACCACGTTTCGAGGCACCATCGCCTGGTTCTTGCTCCTTCTTGAAACTGCGTGCCTTAGACTGCTGCTCATTGCGACGCTTAACGACATTGGCGTTCTCGATGGCGAATTCAACGACGAGCCGTTTTTTCTTGTCCTGGGTATCAGGGGTTGCGGATTTGGGAGGCTCGACAGCATGACCATTGAGCCATCTTAGTCCCATGAGAGCATGGCGATGGGTGTAGTACTCGACGAAGCCGTAACCTCTACTCCGGCCTGCTCCGCTTTCCTCTTTGATCTTACTTCCATCGCGACTCTCATAGACAATCTTGGCTTGCCTGACGACTCCCACGCCCTTCTTCTTCCGCTGCTGCTCTGCTTCGCGCATGACATCAGCAGCCCGGTCCAGCTCCTCCTTTGACAAGGGTTGGCGCACGCCGCTTTTCATTTCCTGGGCGAAACCAACAACGGCCTGCCTAGCCAGCTGCTTAAGATCCTTCGACGTGATATGGCGGGGAATATTGCGAATGGACAAACGCGTAAGACTGAGGTGAAGGCTCGGGTTCTTCTTGATGAAGTTTTGTCGTTGTTTGTAGCTGTCCTCTCTCATCTTAATTTCAGAAGGTGAGAGTTTCTTGTAGAGAGAGGAATTGGGTGCGATAGTACCCTCCTGAAGAAGGTAAAGACGACGTTTGTCAGTATCGCGAACAAGGCGACGAGAAACACCCTCTTCCTCGAGTTCGGTGGCACGAGACTTGCTCACTGCACGAGCGATCTGAAGCACACGGCCATCCAAGGTGTAACGCCCACTGGGATCAGCGTTCTCATTTTGTAGAACGGACTGCTTGTATGACGTGGATGCTCTCTTGCCTTTGTCTTTGTCTGCGGCAAGGGAATCCTGCTGTTTGGGGGCATCGCGCACACATGATACTGCATCTTCCACTTTCCAAAAGCAAACAAACCCGGTCCCACGAGGACGCTCAGTTTCTCGGTCAACGACGATTCGTGCATAGCGAAGGGGGCCAAATTGGGTAAAATGCTCATAGAGCATCTCATCGTCACACGTGAAAGGCAGATTCCTGATGAAGATAGTCGATGCATCTCTTTCATCTTCTTTTGCCTCCTGCTCATCGATGCCTTCACCTTCCAACTCTTCCTCATCAAGATCGTCTTCGCTATCGAGATCCTCGTCCTCGTCGGCGGAAAGAGCGTCCTCGACAACATCAGAGTCAGCCTCTGCCGCTTCCTCGTCTTCATCCGCCATCTTAGTGTCTTTTGGCTCCTCATTTTGCTCATCACTTTCCGCGCTATCTTGCTCTTTTTGCAAATTCTCCCAAACATTTTTTTCCACTGCCCAATCAACAGCCAGTGTCCGCCCGTCTACCTCCTTGCCATTGACGCCCTCTAGCGCCTTCTCTGCGTTCTTCTTTCCCCTCAGCACCACGAAGCCGAAACCGGCCAGCTGGTTTCCCTTTTTGGGGAGATAGGCTTGCTTGACCTTTCCATAACTCCGGAAGAGCACTGCCAAATCGTTGGGTTCCTTAATGCTCCACGGAAGGTTTCGGACGATCAATCTGGGTGGCACAGCAGCCGCTCTTTGTTGTTCTCTTTGCTTCTTGAGCTCAAGGGCTTCGGTAGATGGTTTAGATTTGCCGAGGTTCTCGTCGACAACACGATGGCGCGGTTGCGCATACTCGACCTTGATTTTCTTCCCTGCGAAGACAGTTCCGTTGAGTTCCTCCAGGGCAGCCTTCGCATCTTCGACATCAGCAAAAGTCACGAAGCCGTAGCCCTTCGATTGCTTTGTCTCTGAGTCAGTGACGACGATGGCATGCTTGATCACGTAGGATTGTGAGAAATGTTCTGCGAGGCTCTCGGTGGTCGCTGAGGCGGGAAGCGATCGAATGAACAACTCCCTGCGAGGTTGGTTCGAGGACGGCTGGGCTGTTGCCTGGTTCTGCGTATCAGCAACGGCCACAGATTTATCTTGGCTGACTTGTCCCTCGACGGGGCTCTCGTTGCGAGAATCGTCAGTGTTGGCCATGGTTGGGGTATGAATGACTTTTTTTCGTAGGAAACTCCGCGGCAGAAAAATCCCAGCAAGGACAAAAGTCTCGAGGCAAAAGCGGGTCTCAGGGCGGTGAGGAAGAAGATTAGATAGATACGAGGCGCTCGAATCAGAGACCAGTAATTTCCCGGATCCATCTCGTCTTGCCGGGCTTAGGTACTACATGCCTAGTATGCCAGTGCGAACAAGCACGACAGGAGGGGGAGGGGAGCTTATATTGATACTTAGAGGTATGATATCGGTAGAACAATCGAAGATATCGAAAAGCTTTTCCCGCAGGTTACGGACAAGTTCTGGATTGAGTTGCGGCATGTCTAAGGAGCGGCTCGAACTCTCGACGTCTGGGAGTAGGAAATTCATGACGCACCCAGGTTGCACGTGAGGGCATACCGGTCGGAAGGCCAGCCAGCAGCGAGAAGCGCAGCTTCTCAAGCTCAATCAAGTCCAACTTGAGCTCCGATCCGTTTCTCAGACTGTGGCTTCTTTCTCTTTTAGCGTTGAGCGGAGGCTTGTGAAGCAGTGAATACATTGTGCTCATATCGCTCTTCGGAGAGAAGATGGGAAGCGAATCCAATGGCAGAGGCGAGCGATCACAGTCCAGCGCACCTCCCACGGTCTCGACATCAGGCCAAGCGTTCAATCCACCTAGAATCCAACAGCCTAAGCCACAGGCACTGCCCAATAGATCCGGTCCCTCCGCTATACTTGTCTCTACACGACAGAAAGGAAACCCGATCTTGAACCATATCAAGATCGTACCTTGGGAATATGCGGATATTCCGGCCGACTACGTGATCGGCAACACTAGCTGCGCGCTGTTCTTGTCGCTCAAGTACCACCGCCTACATCCTGAATACATCTACTCGCGCATACGGCAGCTAGCAGGGAAGTATCTACTGCGCATTGTCTTAGTGATGGTGGATATAGCAAATCATGAAGATAGCCTTCGGGAACTGTCTAAGACGTCCCTCATCAATAACCTTACATTGATGCTGTGCTGGTCTGCACCCGAAGCTGCACACTACTTGGAGCTGTATAAGTCATCCGAAAATTCTCAACCTACAGCTATTCGCACGCAGCAGGCCCAATCCTACAAGGAATCACTAGTCGAATTTGTGACTACTCCCCGCAGCATTAATAAGTCGGACGCTGCGAGCCTAATCTCCACCTTTGGAAGCCTACAGAACGCGATCAATGCGCCGTCAGAGCAGATAAGCGCGGTCCCTGGATGGGGAGAAAAGAAGGTCAAGCAATGGTATAATACAGTGAGGGAGTCATTTCGAGTGGAGTCGATGAAGAAGGCGAATGCTCCCAATAGAGATAGAAATCGTCGACTGGCAGAGCTGGAGACTGAGACGGCCGGCGCCTCTTCAAGGTCAAATGAGGGTCAGGAGCAATTTGATGAAGAGTTCTTGCTTGCGGAGTCGGAGTGCAGCAAGCCCGAGATATGTGCAGATATTATTGAAGAGCAAAGGTCCCAAGTTGGCGCCCAGTCAGAGGCAATTGACCAAGGCATCGTGGTAGCACTGGCAAAGCTTCGTGAGACTGGTGGCTGACGGGACGCTGGGGTTGTGAGTTGATCTAGCATATATTGACCGCCAGATCAATGAATCGAGCCTCTCAGGCCATCTCGTGTGGGTGAGCCTCAACCGAGGTCATAAGTTGATAGAGAGAGCCGAAATTGTGAGCCAACACTTCGAGGACTCCCCTCGATTAGGCAAGGTATGTAAGCTATATTTGAGGTGACTCTCAAACCAGTTCTATAGCAAAGTGTCCACGGTACTGTACACCTCCAGCCCCCGATCCGTGAGAGATGGAATAAAAATACCTAGTGTTAGCATATTAATCATTTCTTTTTCCTTACCGCCTCAGCTCTGGTCAATTCAAAGTCCGCAGGGAACATAGACAGAATCTTTCTGAAGGGGAGGTTGTATGTATGCGTGCCTATGCGAGGGATCATGACAGATTTAGACATCGACTAAATACTCAAAGCAATAGACTTTAGATAGTGGATTTTTGAATTAGCCATATACAGTACGGTGCCAAGATCACGCTCATAACAAGCGACAATCTCTACCAGAGATTAATAGATACTAGATTCATACTTACAGTCCCGCGAAAGTAGTCTGTATACTCCCTCCACAAGAAGTTCGTCTTTTTCTTATTTAAAACTAGTTATATTCTAATTCTACCGGCAAAAGCCACCACCGCTAATTCTTTAATATTTCATATACCAACCATCTACTTTAATAACAGTCTTAATATAGTAAGGTATGGTTTCGGAGAAATATATAATCATATTATTTTTTATAGTCTGTTATATCTCTTTAGCTGCTTAAACAAGCTGTATAAATATTTTAACTATATTATTTATTCTCTTTAAGTCCGGATAATCTTTATATATCTGTTGTTTTAATAAGATCTATAAATTCTTAATTAAATTAAAATCCGGGCTATATAGTAGTTAATTTATTACTTAAATACTAAGATCTTGAAGTAAGGCCTGTATAATTTATACTATATAAACTAAGGTATTATTATATATAAATATAAAACCAGAATAAATAATCTTAGATAAAAAAGCTATATATAAATTATAAATTATACAGCTTAATATACCACCGCGTGCAGTTTTAAAATTACTATTTAAAAAAACTAAACCGGTGTAAGTTTTTTTACTAAAAATAGTCTAAAATATCTGCTTTATATTTTTATTATAGTATAATTTGTATATATTATTAGTTGCAAGTTATTTATATAAACAAAGCTAAATCCAAATTTACCGGACTTTTATATTATATTTAATTATATACTTATTATTTTATACTATAGTTATCTACTGTTATAATATAAATACAATATATTTACAGATCTAATAAAGTTTTATAATTATATAATATTTTTTAAGTTTAGACCAGCCTTATTAATATTATTTTTACAGCTTATTTTATTTATTAAGTTTTATATAGAACAGCAGTATATAATATTATTAATTTTTTTAAGTATATTATAATATATTATATATAGATCAGTCTCTGTTATTTTATATAACTAATTATATTAATTTTTAAATAACTTTTTTAGTTGATCGGATTGAGGCCTAGATATATTATTAATACGGTCTTTCTTTTATACAATTATAATTTATATAGTAGATAAAAATAAATAAAAATAATAACTATAAATATATCGATAGCCCCAGCCAACTATATATAATTTATATATACGGAAACGCAATTAAAAATCTAATTTATAATTTTAGGCTTGTAGTATTATATATAACTTTAAAATTAATATATTTATATAGTAATACAGTAACACATACTATACTATATAGTTTATTAGAAAGAGCAAATAGAAAGGCGGTGCGGTTGAAGTAGACCTTAAAACCAAACACCTCGGTGGAGGGAGTATGCAGACTACTTTCCTCCCACTGTAGGCTTGGGTAGCGGGTTTCGGGGCCTCGGGTAATCCGATCACAGCTGCTACGTACTATGTATGAGACTATGAGTATATAGGCTCGCCGCCCCGTGGGGGAGAATCTGGGTGTTTGGAACAAATCAAGACGGTAGAGACTGTGCTTGTTTCCCTAATACGAGTAAGTTACTGTGCATATGTGAGTACATACATACGCGTACGTAGCACGTAACCTACACTAACTTACTTGAGGGGGCTCTGCTCCTCCGATCACTGGAACGGAGGAACTGAGACTTAATCAAGCCTGCAGCTGTCGGAGAGCCTAATTTCCAGGGCTCCAGTACCAGCGGACCGGCAAATTAGCGGATTCAAAGACTCGGGAATTGTTAGCCTCATATTTACTTACAGTACTATGTACAATACAGTAGGACGTAAAGATTACCGTACTGTACTGTTCCGGACGAACCTTTATGTCTCGATGAGTCAGCTACGGTAAGCTGTCACGTGGGGCCCGAGCGGTGGGGCCTGGAGCCGAAAGGGGTAATCGGGCTGACAGCGAACATTGGAGTTTGACAGTCCAACGAGTCAACGACATTCTCTTGTTCAAGGCCACAGCCCTATTATTATTGTTGTTATTATTATTATTATTATTGTGTTGTTGTTGTTGTTGTTATTATTATTATCGTGCTAGTGATAGCGATACCGGTCGCGCTGTGAATGTGTCCTTCCGATTGAGCAGAAGTTACCAAGCATTCTCCACTGAGCATAGAGCTGCAGCAAAGACCCTCCAACCCCTCCCCCCCCGGTCCCCACTTGACCACTCACCCCAGCCAAGCTTGCCTGTTGAGTCTGATCTGACTTACTCATCCAGGTCAAATCATGAGATCATGGGTGAGGAGGGACATCGGCAATCAGGGCAAAATAAGATACTAGAATTTCGACTCCAGAATGTGAATGACTTGGGCCCACCAGCAGCTCGTCAAGTCTTGAGTAGTCATGCGGCGGACCAGACCAGTACTTCCTCCGAAGGCCAGCAATCAAACGGATCGGCCCATCAAGCCGGATCAAGGAACTTCGAGTTTGTGCTAGTGACCGACAATGAATCTCGGCGCCAGGTCCGACGTCATGCTATGCGCCAGTATATGCATCAACGGCGCTTGGACAGTATCGCTCGACTAGGAACGGCTCGCGTACCGGGAGGAGGTTGGTCTACCCGCTCTCCTCTCGACTTCCAGCCCTCAGCTTCGTCCTCTTCAACAGGGGCCGTGAAGGACGATGCTCAAGAGGATCTGACTGTCAAGTCAGAGAAGGCCTCGTCCCCAAGCAGCGATGAGGATAAAAAGACGCCGGAGAAGCCCAAGAGCTCTTCGCGCTTGCTCATTCCGAAATTGCACAAGGTCACACGCGAAGATGCCTCGTTGCGTCCGGCCACAAAGTCTGGATCATCCAATCCTCTGGTAAGCCCAGGGGAAGGGGCCGTTCGAGACCCCTTCAGCTGCTATCCAATTGCTATTAGCCAGGCGGATCATGAACTGATTCAACACTGTAAGTGGTAAGACTCGTTCGCATGTCGCTTTAAAACCGCGGTGCAACGCTTGATCTTCACCCGAAATGAAAGCCGATAAGTGCCGGACGGGGGCTAACTTAACCAAGTCGTTGTGACCTATCCATCCATGATGTACAAGTTTGCCGACTCTATCGCGAACAACCCAATGATGGAGATTTTCCGACAGATAGCGCTCCATGACGGTCTTCCCTTCCAGGCTATGCTTGCCATTGCATCCAAGCACCGTGCCGGTGTTGAGGGAAAGGCGGAGTCTGTGCAGAGCCTGACTCACAAGATGCGAGCACTGAGGTTCATGAACGAGCGTATTCAAGGGGATGCAACTGGGCAGCATGACGGGACTATCTATGCTGTCGCCACAATGGCTGTCATCGAGGTACCGTGGCTTGTCGCACCCCTTCGTGCATGCAAATGACTAACAATTTTGGAGAAATGGTCCAAGGATGCATCTATCGAGCGAATGCATTTCCGCGGATTATCGTCGATGATCAGGAATCGAGGCGGAATGCATGGCATGCGACTCACTAGCCCTTTCCTGGAGAAAGTGCTTTACTGGTAAGTTCATACATATGCCCTTCGATGTTAGTCTGGTGCTGACAGGGCATAGGGTGGACTTCAGTTGCGCCCCTAAGGCGATCATCAGTACCTCGCTACCTTGGACAGGGACCGTTCCTGATACAATTCCTCCTCTCGACTTCTTGGACCCCAATTTACATCTTGCTGTTCCTCATGATGCTACTACCTCAGAGGATGCCGAAAGTCTCTGTGCACAATTTAGGGCATGCGAAGATTTCTTGCGGTTCTTTCGTCGCCTTCGCGAATTGGAGGGCTTATGCTTGAACTCTCCTTATGCCGTCGTACCAGAGACCTTACCTCGTCGAAAAAAGCATTTTCGTCCTGGCACCCAGCTCTACTCAATCTTGACAACGCTGCCGGACTATGACCACGGAATTCGGGACATCCGCTTCATCGACGAATATACCTGCATGTCTTGCCTCTTCTTCCTCACCGTCGCATTATACGACTGCTACCTGAACTCTCATAACCTGGACGAGTATCTCGACTGGCTCAGCCTCGAAGTCCGCAATCTCAATCCTTTCACAAATCCCAGCATTACATCAGTTCTTTGGCTATTTCTCAACAATGGCGGTTATCCTAAGAATAGACCAGGTGACGCTGGAGATCGATGCTGGATTGTCTCGCGGATGGTCCGGATCGCTAAACGACTCGAATGGAAACGCCACGGAACCATTTGGGACCGACTTCGCCAAGTACTGATTGACTTCATCGTCACACAGCAGGAATGCGCGCTGGGTTCGGATGAAATTGACGCCGAAACGCACGTGGCTCGCGCGCGGAAGCGACTCAGTTACCAGACTCACTCGACGGACTACTTCTGGAATGAGGTACAAATGCGTGAAGATATTCTCGAACTCAATTTGTCCTCAGTTACCTCCACGTCCACAAGTATTGAAGACAACAATGTACTTGCTTACACGTAAAAATCATTTGCTATTTCTGCTTTTCGTCTTTATGCATAACAACCCCACCTCAAATTATAACACGCGAAGCAAATCTTGCTTTGGGGGCTCGCTTTCGGTTTCCATTTAAGCTAATCTTACCTTTCACGACTTATGATGGATGAGACAATGGGACGTTCATGGGCTAGGATGGATACGGATAGACTGGCAATTAATGGATCTCGTATACAAGGAAGTTCGTTCGCTATTGACAAACAAACCATGACGAGCGCTTATATACACAGGGATTCTGTAGGAGGCAGCCTGCCGGTAAACTCTCTTCCATGTGAAGATGATTCCGTAGGCTGCCGGTAGTTGGTAGTCGGCTATCGGCTATCCACCTTTTGCTCAAACTGTTTACACAACATCAATTGATCCAGAAATTACCATTTCAAAGTTTAAAGGGTTACGATTATTTGGCGGGGTTACATGCAAAGTAAGACCATGGCTTCTGTCTATGCGACGAGCGAATGCGATGAAGTATCTATCTAATCATAAGTGCAAAAGCAACAATCACAGAAAGCCAGGATGTGTGAGATCGCATCCATCTCGTGCATATCGATCAGGATAACATCACCCTGGGATAAACTCAAAAGAGGAGTAAAGAGCATGTACGGGAATAGGAATAGCAGCCGTCCTACCAGACTGCCGAACGAGATAAGAAGAGTCTTATCGTGGTGCAATCTTTTTTTCGTAACATAAAAGAAACGAACCAATCAGGCAAGCGGTACATAACACGCAAGGCAAGGCAACATAATATAACCACAATCAACCAAAGTCAATGGTATCGAGCGCGAAGATAGAGATGAATAAAAGGAATAATAAGAATAGAAATCTAATGATGGAGCCTGCCGATGCAAAGGTGAACAGCACTTGGCAGTAAAACTTTTGGGGGTGCATGCCAACCTGTTCCTACCCGAATTTATTCACTTCTTTCATATAATCTGTAATAGATGATTTTGGCATGTCCGTATCCATATCCGTGATATCGTCATAAAAGAAAGGCGAATAAGAAAAGAAAAGAAGGTAAAGAGCATGGGCAGATTACGTGGGCTTGTCGCAGCCAATGCGACCTAGAAGCGCCTTGCGATCGCTTTGGTCTCCAAGGCGAACTCGCCGAGGCCGCACAGCCGAGGAACCATTGGCTCGACGCCAGTCAACATTGGAGTTGTCGATCGCATGCGTGGATCCATTGAGGCCATCCTTTTCAGCAAAGTGCTCTTCCTCTTCCTCTCCTTCGTCATCACTGCGAGGTTCCTCGGCATTACCGGTGCGGATGACGCCCACGGCCACGCGAATTACCATGGTGAACCAGATCAGCGACAGCAGCTGCAGTGCCAGAAGGCAGGAAAGAAATATCCATTTGACGGTGCGGTTCATGCAAATCGGTCCGTTCAGATCCTTGAAGGGGGAGACCAGATACGACCATGCGCTCGGGTAGCCATTGGTAGAAATCATCTCCGCAGTTGTACCTGAGTAACATCCGTAAGACATCTTGGCAGGGACGTCCTTGTAAATCGACCAACAGAGTTTTGGGTAGTAAACATGTCGAGTGATCAACCATGTAACCATGAACACAACAAAAGCAATGTTGCAGCTCGTTTCGTACTTCAGATACTTGAGAATCTTGGCCGTCTAACCCAGTGAGTTAGTGAATTTGACTTCGAACGAGGGTGGAGATCTAGGGAGCATCTTGATCTTACAGGCAGTAGGAGATCAACAATGTCCATGAGCGAGAGCACAACATTGGAGACATTGTAGAAGCCGTAGACGTAAGCCGAACCAAAGAGGGCAATGGTGATTACATGGTGGGTCAGCATCTGGTAGTGATCCTTTCTACGCTCCTCAATATTGATCACCAAAAGCTGCTGTGCCCAAAACGCCAATTGTACCAAGAGGTACCATTTCATAAGACCTGAAACATTGCGCGCAGGCCATTGGTCCCAGATTTTGCTGAAATTGCCCCAATGGTCAGAGTTGGACCAGATATACTGTTTTATTGTGTTAGTCAAAACACACGACCAGCAGGCGGACAAACAACAGGCGCAATCCTGGTGAACGAACCATTCCGAGGGAGCAGATGAAGCCATAATACAGACAAAGCCAGCCCTGTTCAGCCAGACGAAGCGACGCCTTCCGTTTCAGGCCCCAATGCTGCGCAATGGGCCTCAGAACCCAGTCAATGAGAATGGCCCGGATAGCGATGAAGACAAGTGCGGAGCTGGCGACAAAACAAACATCATCCCATCCTTGTACGTAGTCCCCGGAGGCAGGCTGGTAGTAGGAAAGCTGAAAGAACGGCGTGGTGTAGGGGTTGAGGGAAGGGTAGAGGTGATGGACGGCCAATAACATCGCAAGAGTGGTCAAGGTAATCCCTGCGGTGAACGAACATTAAGGTAAGCAGGACAGTTGACCCCAAAGCGCCAACAATGGCATTGGTAAATTATCATGCATCCATTGGAATGGTCCGTACCGATTTGGTTATGCAACATCCATTCGCGGAACGTGGTTTCTTTGACCGCCGGGCGGTGATGACTGGTAGAAGTGGAAACGCAGGCATTGAGTTCCGAGACCGACTGAGAGACTGGAGATGATACGTCGGTGGCCATGACGGAAGTAGGAGGGAGAGCCTGGAGGGGGTATCTGGCTGAAATTGGAGACCTGACAGCAGAAGCAGCAGTTCTGCAGAAAGGAATGTCCAATTGACGACAGCGCGAGAGGGAAAGTGGGAGGGAAGGTGTAAAGAAGGAGAACTGTCGAGAGCCGGGACGTTCGAGTATGGTAGAGGGAAGGAGAGAGATGGGACTCCAGGAAGGGGGGAAAGGGTGGGGGGGAAAGAGAAAAGCGATGAAGTCTCGGCCGTGAGAGGTTGATTGAGGCGTGTTGAGATGAGGTGAGTTGAGGTCAGATATAAGTTGAGGGAGTACGGTAGAGAGCGAGCCAAAGAGGGAACGGAGGAGTAGCGAGCGGCGGGCGAAAGTGGTTCCCGCCCACTCGGACTTCTGTTATTGTAAGCCCACAGGTTCCACGGCGGGAAACTAACTCTTCAGAGAGATTAGGAATTGTTAGGGGATTTCCAATCAATCAATGATCCATCAATTGTTTAAATCAGATAGGGCACTGAGAGGAGAGGGGAAGGGAGGGAGGAGCGGGGAGAGCCTCCTTGATGTTCTCGCCCTTGGTTCTCCCCGTCCGCTGAAAAGCCGAGTTGAGTTATTTTTATTTTGAATCTCTCCAAATGAGTGGAGTGGAGATTCTGGGCGGAATCACCCTGGACGGCCTCTGTGTACGAAGTATGTACTCGAGTATATTACTGCTGATGCATCAAACTCATGTGACGGTTCGAGGCTTTGAACATCACCCAGAACATATGGGAAGTTTTGCGAAGAACGACGAGAAGGTAGAGGGAAGCAGAAGATTGATGGTGTATCAAGTCGGTTTCAGCTGATTTCGACCCACCACCGGGAGGACCCCGTTACGTACGTGCTGAGGTCCCCAGCAGTACAGTACGTAGTCTACTTTCAGTAGCACTGGCAATGCTTCTGCCCCTCAGGTACCCACCCCTCAGCTGTCAATATTCGATTCTCAGTACCGCCCTAACTTGGGGAGATCAAAAGCCAGTTGGTGCTCAACTGGGCGGTCACGATAGGCAGAATAGCGATCATGTCATGTGACCGGACTTGAACCTTCCGTCATTACAATATTCTCTGTCATACAGATTGATACTACTCTCGAAAAACTCGGAATTTTAGGTGATATATATTTCCAGGAATTCGGCCTCTACTTCAGGCTGCGAGGGCACCAAGAATGCTTTTATCTTTATGTCCACTCCGTATATGCATGGTAGATTTGATCATCCCGTCCGCTGGTTTGGATCACCGCTTGGGCCGACCCCACCCGATAGCCGCCACCCCAAAGCTCTGCCTGCCCTGCAAAAAAAAGATTGTCGAGCTGTTTTGACAAGAAAAGATATTCCACAGTAACTGCATTCTAGCCTGAGAAAGGAGAATCCTCCTTCAAGGCAACTACTGAAAGTGCTAATATAGTTACCCCAATTTCTCCGCTCCTCCGCTGCTGGCTTTCATTGATTTGGCCGTGATTCCCTTCGTCACAATGGAGGCTGAGATACAGGCACAGATTCCCGGTATCGACCATGTGATCTCCGAATATTCCGTGGCAAGTATCCTGATTCGTATTGTTGAGACAAGCAGTTCGATTGGAACACTGTCGCTGACGCATTACAGGGCTATCTGGCTCATGCTTCTAAAGCCTATGTTGAAGATGCAAATGGGCCGTCGCCGCTGTCCGAAGCTGCCGATATGGTCACGGCGCTTCTGATTTCTGCCTCGGGAGACTTCTCACCTGAGAACGAAAAGGCCATTCGTAACCTCGTGGAAAAATTTATCGCTTCTCTCAGCGCGTCTGATGGAGTGAACGCAGAGCGTAGACAGATGCCCTTCACTGCCAAAAAGCTTGACCAGGCGATCAATGTTGGCTCTCAGAAAAATATCTCCTCGACTTTGGGTCTAGCGGGAGGCAACGTCGATCTGGAGTCTGCGAATGCCAGAAAAGTGGAGTCTCGTGTTGACCGCAAGAAGTTAGAGAAGGCAGAACGAAAGATTCGTGCTAAGCAGGAAAAGAAACAGATGAAGACGGTGCAATACGAATCTTCCCGTCTCTTGAATCAGCCCGACAGCACCATGTCCTACGAGGAATTCTTCATGGCTGTCAACCCTCTTCAACTTGGCTCTGACTCCCAGTCAAAGAGTAAGGATATTAAGGTTGACAGTATTGATATCTCTGTTGGCGGGCATCGTATCTTGACCGACGCTTCATTGGCTTTGGCTTATGGCCGACGCTATGGTCTCGTGGGTCAGAACGGTATCGGAAAGAGTACTCTTCTGCGCGCGTTGAGTCGGCGTGAAGTGGCAATCCCCAGCCATATCTCGATTCTTCATGTTGAACAAGAGGTATGTCTGGTCTCTCGTGCTCGAAACCTCAGAGAAAACCATGGTTTGTTGACTGGATGTCCAGATTACGGGTGATGATACACCTGCGCTTCAAGCAGTTTTGGATGCTGATGTCTGGCGCAAGCGTCTATTGGCCGACCTAGAGGTCAGTTTTCTAGCCTGTTTCGACCTGTCTCACCTTTCTGACTTGCTTCCAGAAAATCACTAAGCAGCTCGCCGAGATCGAAGCAGAGAGATCGTCGATGGCGGACACTTCTAAGGATGCTGCTAGACTTGACCACGAAAGGGAAGGATTGGATATTACCTTGAATGATATTCATGCGAAGCTTGCAGAAATGGAATCGGACAAGGCCGAGTCTCGTGCCGCTAGTATCCTGGCCGGCCTTGGCTTTTCACCCGAGAGGCAGCAGTTTGCAACAAAAACATTCTCGGGTGGTTGGCGGATGAGATTGGCCTTGGCTCGGGCACTTTTCTGCGAGCCTGATCTGCTTTTGCTGGACGGTATGATCGAGTGACACTACGGCGGTTATCTCTTGACAGAATGCTAATCGTATGCAGAACCGTCCAACATGTTGGATGTGCCTTCGATTACCTTCTTGTCCAACTATCTACAAACCTATCCTAGCACCATCCTTGTGGTTTCTCACGATCGTGCCTTCTTGAACGAAGTAGCCACGGATATCATGCATCAGCATTCTGAGAGACTCGACTACTACAAGGGAGCCAATTTCGGTAAGTACCTCAAAGTGCTCGGAGAAAAATGTTCAAGCTGATGATATCGCAGATTCATTCTATGCCACCAAGGAAGAGCGGAAGAAGAATGCGAAACGCGAATACGAGAAACAAATGGCCGAACGCGCACATCTGCAAGGTATGTCTCTACCATACAAAAATTTTGTATTGGAGCTGACTCATCCGAATAGCATTTATCGATAAGTTCCGGTACAACGCCGCCAAGTCGTCTGAGGCGCAATCTAGGATCAAGAAACTCGAAAGAATGCCCATCTTGGAAGCCCCAGAAAGTGATTATGTCGTTCACTTCAAGTTTCCCGATGTCGAGAAGCTTTCCCCTCCTATTGTACAGATGACGGATGTGTCATTTGGTTATTCGAAGGACAGACCGCTTCTCAAAAACATTGACCTCGATGTGCAGCTTGATTCACGTATTGGCATCGTTGGACCTAACGGTGCGGGTAAAACCACTGTGCTCAAGTTGCTAACGGCTCAACTTCAGCCGACGTCTGGTTTCATATCACAACATGCCAGGCTGCGCATCGGATATTTCGCACAGCATCATGTGGATGCCTTGGATTTGACGACCAGTGCCGTGAGTTTCATGGCAAAGACCTACCCAGGAAAGACAGACGAGGAATATCGGAGACACCTTGGAGCGTAAGTGAAAGTCTCCTTCGCCTTAACCTTTGTCTTATATCTGTTAACAATTGCCTCTGCCTGATTATAGTTTCGGTATCACTGGAATGACTGGCCTCCAGCGCATGGAGCTCCTGTCTGGAGGTCAGAAGTCTCGTGTCGCCTTCGCCTGCCTGTCTTTGACTAACCCGCACATTCTGGTCCTGGACGAACCTTCTAACCATTTGGATATTGAAGGTATGGATGCGCTGTCCGAGGCTCTGCAAAACTTTGAGGGTGGTGTAGTGATGGTATCGCATGATGTGACGATGCTTCAAAATGTCTGCACCAGCTTGTGGGTCTGCGACAAGGGCACGGTTCACAAATTCGATGGCACTGTGAATGCCTATAAGAAGTTGATCAGTGCTCAAGCCAACGAGGCCGGAGTAGCTGCTCCGCACTAAGTCAGAGGACCTAGGATGATCGAGCTCAGTGAGGTCTAGGTAGACGAAGGTGCTTACGTCATTGGGTTACCACGCGTGTGTGTATCCTATGTCTTTTAAGATGGTGGAAATTTCAATTCAACTGGTCTTGCTCAGCCCAACTATTTGTCTACGAAAGTACGTACATATGTATTATGTAGGTGGTAATGAGTATGTACGTCGGTAGTAATTAATGCAAAAGACTGCGTTGCTTGACAGGCATCGCCTGGGTTGTGGGCTCGCTCTTGCTTATGTAAACTATGCTAACTTTAGTTAACTAGTTAATAGTCTTCCCCAGATATGATCCGAGTGCTTGATTCCATTTCGAACTACGTACGAAACTTTGAAACCCCTTGTACACCGACTAATGCAGATGTCGATGTCGAACCTCTTCACACGCGCCAATCAATAAACTACTAAGCTATGAGTCGCAGGGACGAGAATGAGGTGGCGGATTCTAGTGCCCCTTTACTTTCCCAACCCTCGTTGGCAAATAGAGCGTCACAACGCGATGATGGGGACGCTCGGGTTTCTCGGCCCAGTCTAACACTGACAGGGGACTTTTTCATATGGTCCTTGACTTTTTCTGCTGGAATCAGTGGGCTTCTCTTCGGTTACGAGTAGGTGGTGTTTCCTTAATCATTCTTGGCCCGGGCATGAGATTCCAAGTCGGCGAGCAGAAAGATTTCCGATAGTTCAAGTGGCTGATTATTTGTCTAAAGCACAGGTGTCATTTCATCAACGCTTGTGTCGATCGGCTCGGATCTTTCTAATCGTTCCCTCACTACTCTAGATAAGAGTCTTGTAACATCGTGCACAAGCTTGTTTGCTTTAGTCGCAAGCCCGCTGGCGGGCATACTGGCGGATAAATTCGGACGCAAAAAGGTCATAATCATTGCGGACGTGCTTTTTACCCTGGGAGCCTTCATACAGGCTGTAGCCACTACTGTTTGGGCTATGATAGTAGGGAGGAGTGTTGTCGGCTTGGCTGTCGGTGGGGCGAGCTTGGTCACGCCATTGTATGTCACGTAGCTCACGGATACCTGCTTCATATCGGAGAAAGACATACGGGGGATCGATCTCGACCGATTTTGCTAACATTTGTTTCAGGTATATTTCTGAATTGGCGCCATCCCATGAGCGTGGAAGATTGGTGACGATCTTGTGTCTACTCATCACTGGGGGGCAAGTCATAGCTTACATTGTTGGCTGGCTTTTGTCCAACACACCTGGCGGTTGGCGCTATATTGTCGGCCTTGGGATGGTTCCTGCTATCTTTCAGTGTATCGCTGTTGGTACTCTACCCGAAACTCCACGATGGTTGGTGCAGGCAGGTCTCGAGAACGCAGCCACAAATGTCCTATTGCAGGTCTACCAGGCTCACGACGAAAATGTGCAAATTGTCGAGAGCATCTTGCATGATATCCAACAAGAAGTTGCCGATGAGGCCGAGATCACAGGTCATTCAAACAAGTCTCCCGGACACAGTGAAAACTGGGTTGCAAATGCCACCCAGCGCACCCGCAGTCTCTTTCTTGTTGGTGGTAACCGCAGGGCATTGATAATAGCAGTTATTCTTCAAGGCCTACAGCAGCTATGCGGGTTCAACAGTTTATTATACTTCTCGAGCACACTTTTTGCCATTCTTTCATTCTCCTCCCCTACCCTTACAGCACTGGCAGTAGCGATGACCAACTTCGTTTTCACACTTCTGGCATTCATATATATTGATAGAATTGGCCGGCGGCGCATTCTACTTTATTCCATACCTGTCATGGCTCTTTCGCTCGTTGCTTGCGCTATGGCCTTCGGGACTTTAGCTCTTCCTAGGTCATCATTCGAACCTGAGGGATCAAACGGAGCCGATGCTGCGATGGTCGAAGATTCCCTCCTCCCCTTACTAGTCCTTATCTGTCTCACGGTTTATACGGCCTCATACGCCTTTGGCCTCGGCAATGTTCCTTGGCAACAATCGGAGCTCTTTCCGCTGAACGTACGCTCTTTAGGTTCGTCTCTTGCAACAGCTACGAATTGGGGATCGAATTTCATCGTCGGGTTGACATTTTTACCTATGATGGAATGGCTATCACCGGCATGGACTTTCGCGACCTATGCGGCTGTATGCGTGCTGGGGTGGATTGGTGTGTGGGCTATCTACCCCGAGATGAGTGGGCTCAGCCTTGAAGAGGTTAAAGATCTCCTGTCCAATGGTTGGGGGGTTCAAGAGAGTCTGGTACGGGGTCATGGTCGTCCCTAAACCAGGTGCAAGGTGCTACGGAGTAGTCCAGATGCCAAGGTCAAAAGTCTTTCTCTAGTTGTGACTGATGACGGGCACGGGCTTAGCTGGCGTCCCCTACTAAGAATGAGATGAATTTAGCAGAACAATCTGGAGGGGTGAATCATCTGACTATGGTAATCACAAAGCACATAAGGAACAAATTCTGCAAGGTCCTGGCTAGTAAGTGACCAGTACTGAGCTATATCTTTTAAGTTAGTTGACTTCCTAGATATCAATCAGCACGTTTAATCCAATATAGAAGATTTAGGATCCAATCTAGCTCTATTTTTGCTGTGATGTATTATATACCTTGACTACAAAGACTGCTTGCCTTGGTAGCTTACTTTCGTAGCTTTGCTTTAACTGCTTTTTTTCCAATGCATAGATCCATTCCGGGATGGCCGAGTATAAATGCTTGCTTTAAGGAACTATTTTATCAGTGCGAACAAGTTCACTCGCGTGATTTCTTGGTGGAATATTGTGTACAATGACCGGCAGACGCTCGGTATGACTATTACTGCAATAGATGTGAGGCGCATAACCAGTAGGAAAGCCAAAGCCCTACTCTTCGATATCCTTGACCTTCTCCCACTGTCCCTTGAGGTTCTCCTTCCACAGACTGACTTTGTTATCTCCGCCACTCACCGCGAGAATATTGCCGCTAGGGCTCCAGCTTACCCTCCACAGGACAGTGTCGAATTCGAGTTGCTGACTGGTCCATTGCCCGGGATTTGATGCATCGGAGGTCCAGATCCGAACAGTCTTGTCTTGCGAAGCGGATGCGATGTAGGACTTGGAAAGAATGCTGGGCGACCAGGCGACGTCCCGGACCCAATCGGTGTGGCCTTCTAGTGACTGGTTGAGGTTGTATGACTTAGACTCAGGGCTGTATTATGGTGACGTATCAGCTAGCAAGCTCCTTAATATGAAAAAGCGCGACGGGCTTACTTGTAATCCCAGATCTTGAGCATATTATCACTTCCACCTGTCACAAATCTGCGCTGCTGGCCCAGTCCAGGGTTGGCGCTGATCAAGCTTCCGGGGACTGCAGCGGGCGCCCAACTGATGGAATTCACACCCATACCGTGCGCATGGAAGATTTGATGAGTCCAGCTGTTATCGCGAAATTCAAGGACGCTAACATGACCGTCCGAGGAGGCGCAGGCCAAGACACAACCACTTTCATGAGGAGCCCAGGACACCATGTTCACCGAAGCAGTATGAAGCGAGAAATCAAAGACTTTAGTCCAGGCACCACCGCCAACAGGGGACGTTGTGTTCTGATGTTGCTCACGCCAGATGAGCACTTTTCCATCGTAGGAGGAGGAGGCCAGAATCGTGCCGAATTTCGGGTGCGCCTAGATGGATTACAGTTAAGCATCAAGTCATTAATTCACAGCGAGAGACTCGAAAGAGGCTCGTCAAGTTCGGCATCTTCTATAACATACCCATGCAACACACCACACTGCTCCTTCATGGCTAGGTCGATAATTTTGGGTCAGAATCACAGATTGTACTTTTGTGCTCTTGGGTGCTTGTTGAAACTTCTTACCCCTTCAGAGTCTCGACTAGTCGGTGCGTTTCACCCTCAACCTCGAAAATCTTTATCGTCTTGTCCGAGGAGCATGTCGCCAATCTGCGGCCATAGTAGTCCAGACCCGCGTCGTGCTACAGCCCAACCCGGTCAGCAAATGAAAGTGCTAATTGAGGTTACTGTAATCAGGTGATCACAATGGAGTTATCCTCCGCCCGCAGTCAACATACAATCATATCGTCGTGTCCAGAATTGGAGATCACTTGCGCAGCCGCCTATCCGCCCCTCGCGGGGGACCGTGTTAACAAACGAGAAGCTTGGGGATGGAGAAGAAGAACACACCATCTTGAATGAAGTGCAGCACCAAGTATAACCTGCAGTGCCTAGCAATAGAAACTTCGAAAGTGCCGTAAAGGACGTGGTGCAATTTATGGGTAGAGGACAGCGAGGGGGTCGATGTGGTAACGTAAGTAGGAGAAGCGGCAGCGGCAGCAGCAGCAGCAAAACACCGCCAGCTTGTCCGTTACGCGGTCAGTCAGCCGCAGCCCGATCTTATCTTATCGGCTCAGTCAGCCATCTCTGGTCACTGTTGAATCCAGACACGTGAGAGGGGCCTCAGGTTATAAAAGAACAAAGGCAACCAATTTTTGTTTGTCCAGTTTGTCCATACCAATTGATACTGAACATCTTGCACCCAGCAATGAAGTATGAGTATCTCCCAAAGGATGAATCTCGGTGGTTCTAAAACCCGCCGCGCTCTCAGTTCCTAGCAATCCGTCCGTCACGTCTTTGCCGGCGACATTGAATTCGTTGGGGTTTCCAGCACAGGGTCATGTTCTGGCTCCTTGAGCTTCCTCTAATGAAGTAAATGATTTCGTCTCCATTGTGAAGAGAGTCGCAACAAGTAAGCCCCATTGAACAATGACATATAGCGAGGGACAGACGTGGATTATCAGAATTGTACGAGCACCGACGCGAAGTGAGCTAGCGAGCTGAGCTGGGAACATGCGGATCGAGCTTACTGATCTTCTGAAGGACGCCTAAGCTCCGGCTATTGTGTCTACGTGTGGTCTTTGACTGGGCTTTGACACACCTGATATTCGCCTCTTTTGTTCTTGTCCATGCAATTCGTGGGTGCCTGATTCTGGCTTTCTAGGAATGTGCAGTTCTCATCTATCTTCTTGGTTTTGGCCTACCTGTGGGCGGTCCAGTAAGTGGGTAGTAATGATTTTTATCTACTGTCCATAAATTTATGGGCAAGATTGCAATATCATCAAAGTATGAACTGAATGGGTTGAGTACGCTACCTCAGATTACCAATTTGTGCGCTATCCAGGAAGTTAGGCGGTAGGCGGTGAGCATGTACTGTACCGGTGCACTCAGCGTCAGCAGTGTGGGGACAGCCTAGGTACGAGGCTCACCGTAGCCTTAGTGAACTCGTGTGAATTCGTTGCTACAGCTATTGATCAATGCTATGGTTTTGCAGAATACGAAGGCCGGAGAACGCCGCAAGTCCAGTGGCTTTATGTACAGCAACGGTCAGAGTCGAGCTCCTCCCTCACGCCAATCCCAAGCTGAGGAGTGTTTCGCGCCGTTCGGTTCAGCTTAGCCACCAGTTCGATATACACCAAAGCCTCGTTCAAGGGCGCTACCCGCTCTGGGAGAGAAATTACAGCACTAGATAGATTCGATAGGTTCTTGCAAGGATGGTCAATTTGAGTTTTGTGTGATTCGCGTCAAGACAGTTGTTCACGGAACCATGCAACCCCTGTTAAATTCGCCAATCAAGGCCCGATTTGTCCAAGGAGATAAGGACAGATGATACATGCAGGAATCACCTAGGAGATTAGCCGCACTATCGGTTCGGATTAGAGAAGTACTGTAAGGGCAATGGCGGGTTCCTGATTTTGACGGACCCAAAGGAGCGTGGGGGGAGATTTAGCCAATTCCAAGGTGTCTTGAGCAGCAAGGGCTCATGTCTGTCAATGCCCGCAAAGGGGCCAAAAAGGGAATCCTGAAACAAGAGCCTTGAATAAACCCTGGGATACGAAGAAGCGCGGCCAAAAGATCGGTACTGGTTGGAGATATTAATATTGTTGCTCAGGCAATGATGAATAATTAAGGCAGGTGATGCACCTGAAGCAGAGTAATGCATGGGATAGTCAAAGAGGGGAGGGGGTCGAGTATCATGAAAGATTCGACTATGAGTGTGGTTTTCATTCTAAATCTTTATCGTCGGTGATCTCGATTCACGAGCAGCAAAAGCAATGATGTGACATCTATTCAAACAATAACAGGTCTAAGAGCGTTGGCCATAGCAGTCAATAGCTCTGGATCTGAAGTACTCCGTAACACGAAATGAGAATTCTCTTTCATAGTGTACAGTAGCTACGTCCTTGTAGGTTAACACGAATAGTTCAAAGCTCCATCCCGACCGCCCGACCGACTATCGGCCGGGCCAGGAAAAGCGGAGCACCTCGGTTGGGAAGAAACTTGCAGCCCACGTTCCCTCCCGACTAATGTGATCTGTCACTAGGTACTATGTAATAACTAGATACTAATCACAATTGTCATGGTCTTTGGGCCTACCAAATAAGCTCGGAGCGACGGAGCACCGTAGTCTAGGTAGACACGGACTACTGCCGATAACTTATTGATAGACACCGTTGGCCTGGCACTTTGACATCTGAGACGTATTACCGGTAAGCCCGCTAGTAATTTATCAGATTTACTATTTCCTCACCAACCTCCTTCGGTTGTTCGCGTGCTGGGGATTGTAGCGCTGTTCAGATCGGAGGGATAGATGAAAATAATGGCCAAAGCTTGCCGGCTGGCGCTTGTGCATTGTGTAGGTCTGCTTGTCTGCGCACTGAATTAACATGTCCTGGACTAGATGGAGCCGATGACAGATCGGACACTACATATTCAATTATCTATCCATCCATCCATCCATCCATCACAGCTCTTTTGGGTATGCTTTACATAAAAGTCGACAGGATCCAGCCACTCTCGGAAAATGATTGCGCGCTTGGCGGGTAATGCAAAGTGTGGCCTGTCGTCATTCTCCAGGAGCAGGAGTGAATACGTAGCGGGAAATCGGGGCCGAGGAAAGGGCGGCAGAAAATTTTCTATCAGCTCGAGCAAGAGCTAGAAAAAGATGGGAGTGCGCTGTGGGACTGGAGGAAAGTAAGGTAAAAGGCATCATCCATCCCGCTTGTTCCCTTCAATCCCGTGCCTTGGAACGACCCTCGGTAAGTGCTGTACCTGAAAGGCGGACGGGCTACTCCGTAGTAGTTACAGCACACAATACCATCGCCTATCGTTATTGCCATAAGCCTCACCTACTTACAGAATACAGTGTATATCAGTTCAGAGATCATCTGTCTAGGGTGGAAAATTGATGCGATCTGGGTTTCCTTGGCTGAAAGCCCGATCCAGATCTCCTTCCTTTATCAAGCACGAATCTCAAAAGCTACTACTATGTATGTGCTCGTAGGCACGAGTACGTAGAGTATCAGTTGCTAAAAGCTGTGAACATCTAATTTGATTTCCAGTGGCTACTTGGTATGTAGTTCTCGCCGGCCCATCCGAAAGCTAACTACAGCCTATAGCTGCTGAAGTGGGGATGGGACGGCTTGGTGTCACCAAACGGACCCTCATTCCACAATCACTGCGTGCCCTTCAGGCTCCGTCCACAAACAGTACCTGACCGGGCGCACGCACTCACTGCAAGCCGAATTCCAGAGAACTATCCAAGAAACCATTCATTCCATTACATCATGGGGCGAGTTTGGTTCACCTTTGCCCAGCCTTCAACGAACGCATAACTAACGAGGTGGTGTAACTAATTAATCATTTGGGTTATTCCAGGCCTCATAAACAGCTGACAGTAAACACATAACGTTACACATATAACTGGGGTGGATTCGATTCGACTCAACCACTGAATTTCGATTTTTCCAGCGCCGGCGACCCTTTCTGTTGTGAAATGTCATTTGCTAAGATCAGACAGAGGGGGCGGGTAGTTCTAGTCTACCTAGTACTACCTAAGCAGTCTTGGACCAAGCGCACAGGGTATCGGATCGTGCACGCTAGATAATTGGTGGTGCAAGGTTCGCGCACATCGTCATAATTACACCATTATAATTGGAAAATCTGACAAGGATAGTGAGTAGTGAGTAGTGAGTAAGTCACTATTAGTTATTGTACAGTACTCGCACATACTTAGTTCAACTCCACCTTGTCTGGACCTAGACAACTCCGTACCTGGGGTATCACTAGCCCCATGGATGCGAAGCTATGAGTAGGTCACAAACCAAGATTGAATCTCAAAGTAATCTGACTGTTGGATCGACGCAAGTTGGCTTCTGTTTCGATTCGAGCTGATCCGTAATCTCGGGCAACTTCTCATTGATCGAGCGACCGACTGGAAAAACCTCGCTCCTTCCTGAATCTGCCAATCTATAAGTAATTGCATCCGTCTCAGTAAGTCGGTGTGCTATGCAATATCGAGTCAAAGTACCGGTCGATAGGACGGAACTTCTCTTGTACTGTACTTGCTGGAGCATGCTTTGCGCTGACTACATAGTATGAGTACTTCATGATGGGAGCGTAGCAGAAAATGGCCTGCATATAATCTCCGCTCCACTCATACTTTCCCTGCTTCCTCGCCAATTAACATGGCTGCGATCTGCCAAACTTGCCGGTAAGAGTTACAGGTAGGTCAGAAGGTGACTGACAATGCCTGACCTTGCAGATGTAACATAGCTAGGTCCAAAAATCCCCGCGGCTGTTGGGGGCTCTCCTTCGCTGGGATCAGGTTGAGTAGTAGGTAAGTTACCTAGTAGGCATTCAAGGGGAGCTTCACAGAAGGAGCCTGCCGTTGTTTCCATTTCTGTCACTTTCACTCTTATTTTGTTCCTTCGAAGGGTACCTGCAACCACTTGTTACTATTAATGACGGAGATCGCATCCATGATCCATCTCATCTTCGATCCATCGAAATCGCCCTGCAGTGGGTGCTTTGCTGGGGGGTGGGAACTCCTAGCGTGATTCATTCCTCTCCAGTCATTAAGTGGTGGTTGAGTTTAGACTAGAACCAGACAAACCTCGCCCGTGGGAAGGAAAAGCAAGTGGCCGCCGTGTCCCACTGCTGGCTGGGGCTTTAGTGTTGATCGATGACCGGCTCTGGGTTCTGTTGTTATTATTCCTCCATCGTATTATTATTCTTATTATTCTTCTTCTTTTTCTTCTTTTTCTTCTTTTTCTTCTTCTTCTTCTTCCTCCTCTTCCTCCTCCTCCTCTTCTTCTTAATCCTTCTTTATTATCCGGCTAGCTAGCTATCGCTAAATTACCGGTGCTGCTAATTACTTCTGTTGTTTCCTTTCCCCTTCTCTTCTCTTTTACTAATTCTCCCACCCTTTCCTACCCCCCCCCTCCTCCCAGATAATAATAGCCACTGTCGCGCTCACCTCCCTTCTTCACCTGGACGGAGATTATTGCGATTTGTCCGGGTCACTGAATCTTAAAATTGGGTCGCTGCCGTCAGCACTCCGTCTTGTTCTTTTCGCCTTCTCATTCTTTTGCGACATTCCTTTCTAAATCTCGGTTTCCATTCCTTCTTTGGGCTCTTTCCCCCGCCTTCAGAGCTGGCTCCAACGCGCTTTGCCCTCACGCAATCTAAGCACACAATCATCGCGCCTAGTGTTGTTGCACTGTAAGAGTAACCTATACAAGACCAGCGGCCGTCTCCGTGCATTTTCCGGCATCCGCGCTGGACACCTCAGATCAGACTGTGTCGGCATATCTCTCTCTCCTCCCTCTGGATAGGATCTTATCTATCTACATGTACCAGGCTAGCTGATCCTCCTCGTGCATGATAATGCAGATGGGAGGTCAGGTCACAAGTGATTTCGATGCTGCGGACTTGAGCTTCGTGGTATTTGACGCTGTTCTCTGCGCCCTTTGAGAATGGAGCATGTATCCACAGTAAGTGCCGTGTTCTTGAGAATTAAGAGCTTCGCAGTATCTGCCCGCCTCGCCTGCCATTCGTGCTTGCTGCTCGGCGCAAACGTGACCTCGATCAGACGCGCATCTGACTGGTCTGCTTTCTCTTAGTTATGTGCCATTAGCACCGTCGGTATTGCAGCAACAGGCTTCGCGTTCGGTCGTGTGGAT